ACTGCTTATTTCTGTTTTTCTTTTTGCATAGAAAGTTTGCTCTCAAAGTCCCACTAATATAAATAAATAAATAATGTCAATGACATTTTGAAATTGACTGATCATTCCACATACGAGAATTGTTACTGGACAAAAACTTACGGAGATTATCTCAATTAAAAAAAATAAAGAAATTTAAGAGGAACAAAAGATGAAATGAGTTATATATTAATTTCAATTTCCATTCTCACCGATTCAGTCCTTTTTGTATAATGTCAAATTCTAAGCATACGAGAGTAATTTTGATACCAACGTAAGCCTAACATAAGATAAAAAAAAAAATTAGTAGTACCTTTTTCTCGAATGAGACAGAAATTTGGAATGAGCAAGCAAACCATACAGTAGTTGCCTCAAATGGTAGTTCCATATCCATTACGTTTTCAAGCAAGTTGAAGTGAAGATCGAGTCTTCTACACGATCAAACAGCAAGAGCAGAGCAGCATTTTTCATGACTTTCTTATAGTTGACATTAACAGATTGAGTCGTCCGCACGTCTAAACTGACTGATAACAACAGAAACAATGATATGTCCTAACGATCAGTAACAGTTGCTTCCAACTCTATCCTTTAACTTTCCTCGCCTTGTGGAGAAAACAAAACTGCAATTAGAGTTTGTTGGGCTTGAATAAGATATGATCGATTGAGTTTGAATTGATATAGTATTAAGTTAAATTTAAGTTTAATTTAAAATTTAATAATTAAAATTTAATTTAAATTCGATCAAATTTTATTTTTTTAATTTGAGTTAAAAATAAAAATAAAATCATTTGTATTCAACTAATATATAAAAATAAATTTGATTCTTATATTAAATAAAAATTTAATTATTTATATTTAAAATTAAGCTTAAATTTAAAATATTTTATTAATTAAAATAATTAAATATAAATATTTAATTAAATTTATTAATTATTTAAATCAAATATAAAAATATTTAAATTCGATTTAATTTATAAACTAAATTACTCAAATTTAAATTTTATTTTGACTAAAACTTAAGTAATTTATACCCAAAGTCTAACGTGCGCCCACCTAGACTCTGCCTTTTGCCACAATCCCATTTCGATTTTATTTCCCTATTTGGGTCCACTTTCGGCCACCCACTTTAATACATTTGATCCAAAATCTTTTGTCTTTATCCTCCTTACTGAAAAATATAATATATATATATATGTATGCCATTAACATTTAAGAAAAAGTTTAAACCATTTGTGTAAAAACAAAATTAGATCTTAATTCCTTGAATTTGGCAATGTGACACACACACTTAAATTTGTGAGTTGAATTGAAATTTAATTAATAGAAAAAAGGAAAATTTGCTTACTGAATCCACCAAAGATTGAGGAACATTCCCATTTTTTCACTTCAACATTGTAATAAGTCTTGATGTAATTATGAATCTATTTATCCAATTGTCCCAAAAGCAACAGAAAAAATGTAATCATGCGTCTATTATATATTTTCAAAAGTTCTAATGGAGTACTACTTTAATAACCACTTCATTATTACAAATTTGACTCTTTCTTTATAACAACACTTCCCCCCATCCCCACACGCGAAAAATCTCCACCCGCCCTTATCATGCTTATGCCATCCACTCGCTTTCTTTCCCTTATCCTCATCTTCTTTCTTCACAACTTGCCACCCAACACGGCGGCGAGACTAGTATCCGAGTAAGCAACTAACTGAATCAATTGTCAATAACTTCTATTTCTTGGGTTTGCCATTCTAAAACAAGGCCTTGAAGTGAATGGATGACTTTTAATGAGTTTGACAAGCTTAAACAGGCTTTTAACGAACTTCTATTTTTTGCTGACTCGCTAGCAGAGATCGGTGTGGATCTCAAGAATAGATTTTATAATCTTTATGTGCTTATGTTTGATTATGATCCTCTTCTTTGAATCCCGGTATTTTTATGGACACGTATAATAAATAAAATTTCTATTTTGGTTGAGAAAAAATGATTCCTTAATTCCTGGAGAGGCAGCCATGTCAGCGGCATGTAGAAGATCAGGATATATATTTCCTCTATATAGGTTATGCAATATCACTAGATTACAACATGCCAGATGATATCTTCGATGCTCAATTCGAATATTCAGCTATCATTGATTATCAATCAAAGCTTGGTCCTCATGTTACAGGGCTTGATTACGATGCGCTGTCTAAAAATTTTCTCCTAGATGTGGTGTACCCGACCCCAACACAGAATTATCTCCTAAGCTGCATGCATCGAAAAACTATGTATATTTTCCAGGGAAACCTCGACGGGCGTGTCGCATTCGAATGACACTAATGTATGGATTTTCAACTGACAATTTGATCCATTACTTGAGTTTATCCAATTAAAAGGAAAAAAAAAACCATTTAAACCAGTTTTATCTAGATGGGCATCGGTTATTCCAGTTAGTTTCGTAGAAACAGAGGATTATGGCTTTGCTGATATCAAAATAGGGTTTTACACTGGCGATCAATGACCATGGCGACGGAGAGCCGTTTGATGGTGTATTAGGGATCCTAGCACTCTCGTTTTCTCCTAAGGGCGGGAAGTTCCATCTCGATGCAGCTAAGACGTGGGCCGTTGACTCTGGGGTGGAGAAATCGAAGGTAGCCATTGATTTAGAATCAGTGCAGTTGATGAGATCGGGCATTTGTTAGGATTACCTCGTAGTCCGGTTAAAGGAGCTGTCATGTACCCAAGCTTGAAACCTAGAGAAGAGAAAGTTGATTTATCGGTCGATAAAATACAAGAGGTCCAGTATCTCTATGGATCAAACCCTAATTTTACATAAGGTTCTTTGTTGGAATCTGATACTTCAGCAAATCAAGCCATTGGTTTGAGAACTGATTCATCTTTATAGGCCATGTCGATGCTCTTGGCCGCCTGCTTCTTCTGCATGTAAATTTTCTTCTTCCGGTGATTAGCTTTTGGTCCTGTGATCTGTGGGTAGCCCAAACGCTTGAAATAGGATACTTCTGCAGTCATGCAAGAAGAAATATGCATATCTTTTAAACAAAATGTAAAAATGATTACTATTACATTTAATTGAAAAAAAATGTTCATCATGTATAAACATCAGTTATTATTTCCACCAAACTAATTATCTTTTTCTTTTTCAAGTGTTTATTTTTCTAAATTTCTAATAGAATGACGTGGCAGAGACCATATCCTAATAAAATTGTCAAACAAGTCAAACGTCAATGTCAAAGTCAAGTCTTCAGCCATTTAATCAACATGGGCGGCCTTGATGATGGTGACTCTATTGGAGGGCGGCGATTCCATCTTAAACCAATGCTTTTATAGTTGATGGGATAAAACCCCCCCCAAAAAATTTCACAAATCGATTTTTACAGTATCAAAGTACAAAGTAGTAAATGGCTGTAGATTTTAAGTTTGGGACCCAGAACTGTGAAATCAACTACTTTTGCTTGCCTTAAAATTTTAAATTATTAAATAAATATAGCATATATCTATGCAAAATTTATAACACTGAGTAGGGCATGCATGAGTATTTTGGAAAATATGGAACGAAATGAAACAAAAGAGAGCTCTACGGTTTAAAGACATCACAAACAAGGCCGACCAACAGTCAAGAAACCCACTCTGAACAAAGCAGCATAGAGTTGTTTCTTTGTTTGCATTTGGCAAAACAAGACCAAAAGAGTGACTGCTGCCAGGCGATGCCCATCTCCCCATTCAAGGCAAAGATTTTTTTTCCCCCCTTCTGCTGTTCTAAAAGTTTCAATAAAAAATTCATTTCTACTGTGCATATTTGTCGGATTCTTTGGCTCTGTTCTAGGAACTACTCATGAACCATCCCTATCCTCCCTCCCCAAACCAAAAAGTAAATCAAAATCAAATCGATTCAAAGTTAGAGAAGTGGCAAAACAGGTTAGGTTTGGAGGCTGTTAAAACTTAATTTTGGTATATATTTGCATTTAAAGGGTCAATAGAACATATTTATTTATCATCTCAGTATGAAAATATGCTTGACCATTCAAGCAGGAAACATTGAAGATAAAAAAATGATGACATTCAAGGTAAAGGAAGAAACTAAGACAGTTATTAAACATCGACTTCAGTTGTTTCTCGTATCAAATCTCATCTATCTTAAAGGCAAATAGAGGATCATACGGAGGAGCCCAGTTTTGTCAAATACCATAAATTTCTGGTCTGGTCTATATATGTTTTAAGTGTTGATTTTAAGTAGATAAGATTCATGCATCTCATTCTCATTTGGAATAGCCTTTGCAGTGCAGGTGTAGAAAAATACATTTAATTTCCACACGGTTTGTTTATCATTCCAAGATAGTGGCTATGCGTTATTAATATACTGAAAGCTGTCTTGTTTCCTTTTTGTTTGTTCAATCTGATTAACTATTACTATCAAATATATATATATATATATATATTTCTTCAATGTGGTCCCTAAGGCTTCTAATTAAACTTCACAGTGCAAATTATGTAAAATATTATCCGATTAATTATGTGTCTAAAATAAAAATACCACATGCCATTTGTTTAAAAAAAGTCAACTTCTTAATTTTGTTGTGTAATTAATTAATTTTGTAGATAATGTAAAATCATTATATGCTGGTCAGACTTTTTAAGGTAGGGGTTATTTAAGTGTAATTTATTCCTCAAATGAATTAAATAAACAGAGTTGAGGGTTAAAGATTAAAATTTTAAAAAAAAATTATAACATTAACAAAAAATTTTGTATGCAAAAACATTTTTTTTTCAGATTTGACGTTATATTTTCATTTTTTAAAAGTTCATTCAGTTCCATTAGAATAATATGAAGATTATTATTAACTCAAATAGCTGATCCTTTTATAAAATGTGACGAAAACAAAGTAGAAAAACATTAAATCTATAGCTATCAGATTCAATAGTTCTTTTTGTGTGTGTGTATATATATATATATATATACACACGCAACCATGCAACGCAAATAAATAAAATAAATAATTAATGACCTTCCTGTCTCAAGTACTGTCTGTTAAACATGGGGTTTAGCTTCTTTCTATCATATACAAACCCTGCTGCAAGGCTCATTAAACTGACTCAATCTCCCAGTCTAACCCTATTAGCTTGGGGACCGCAATGCTCCCCCACCATTAATTCTCTCTCTCGTCTCTCGCCAATCGCCCCCTCAAACAAATTAACGAGCCAGAATCAAGGAAATTAAAAAATAAACCTTGATTACCATACCTTTTTTATATTGAGAAACAATATAATATCGTCCTCTATCCTCGTATGTTTATCAAAGCTGTACAAAAACTAAATATTTAGTGAAGCAAACAGAGAATTGACCAAGATCATAGTTGCTTTCTTCTGTTGAAACGTGTATTAAAAAATGATTTATTACAGTAATTGTTGTAACATCATTTTTGTCATGATTGAGTAGACATTAGAGATTAGGGGGTGATTGGAGTTGACAATTTCGATGTTAATGGCATCCAAGTGCCAAACCACAAGACTGTCCACGTGTACTTGGCATGAATTTTATACGCAATTCGAGGCCACCAACTTTATTATTTTGGCCAAATCAACAGTGCTTCACCCAACATATATAATAATCAGTTAATGAGATATGTACCCCACCCCCTACAATTTCTGCTTGGAATTATCTGTGTTTATTCAGTTAATGTGCTACAAGATTCTTACATAGATTTAATAACTTCAATCAGAAAATGACTTCGATTGGCTGCTACAAAAGGAAAATTGTTTTCCAATACTTTAAAAGCTTTACATTCACTTACAAGATGAAAGAAACAAAGGCAAAAATATATATCGTTCTCATCACTTTCAACTCTTCCTAGAAATTTCGTTTATGTTTGGGGGAGGGAATCGTTACGATGAAATTAGACATCGTCTAGCTAGAATCTACATACTGCTGATTCAAAATATCATTCCAACCAAGTTTGTGCTACGTCCAAATCATAATCAAAAGAAGTTATCTCAACTCTTCAATAATTTAAAGTTTATATCATGCACAAGTTCATAATTTGTTGGTTAAAATTTTAGGTGGTATCACTTAAAATGTTTCCTGATGATATCATCTGATCATCTATCTGTGGAAATAAACCATCTAATAATCTCAGTACTCCAGCTAAGTATAATTATAGATCTTTAGTTATGGACACATGAAAGAAAATATAGAAACATGGAAACAAAGTTTTTGGTTTTTGGGAACCCTATAAGGAAATAACATATGATCAAGTACAAAATCAGATACATGAATTGTTTTTTTCTGCAACATAAAATCAAAATTAAAACCCTATTGAAGAGTAAAAAAACTAAACAGAATTTGATATCCGTGCTCACATGCAATCCTAACGACAAACTTCTGGATAAAAATGAATGATAAAACAATATAAAGATATGTTTAAGATACCCAGACAATTAATCATATATTCGATCCTTGCATGTTAATCTACAAAGATCCTAAAATATTACTAACGAGTTGCTTGTAAGTTGGATAATGGAAGCAGCGACCATGTGATCCTCTTCATGATTGTTTGGAAATAAAGGGAAGTATCGACAAATAGAAATTTGGGTCATGATTGTTTTATATTTGGTGACTTTCCTTCTTCTTCAAATCAGGTTCACATGAAGAGGTCTGACTCAGACCAAATTTGTGGAAGGGAAAGTAAAAGTAGAAGAAGATTAAAAGAGAGAGAGAAGAGATTTGGTAACGAAATCATTGAGTAATCCTTGGGTGCCATCAACTGAGGGTAAGAATAAAAATCGAACAAAAAAAAAGGGATTTCTGTAGATGAAGGTCATGGCTTCATTGTCACTTCAAGAGCCCCAATAAGAAATGGTTTTGTTGGTTTCTCATAAATGGCCAAAACAGATACAGTGGAGGAGACCTTATCAGCGTTGTGTACTTCGGAGATATTTCATACAACTACGAGTCAAGACTGCAGTACAAGCATGTTAGAAATATCAACAGCGAATGACTTAAATGAATGGCCTAGGAGCCACGATCTCCTTACGAGAAAAAAACAAGTCTCCCTCTGTCCTCTCCCGTCTTAACAAGGTAGTCTAGTTCAAGCCCAAGTTAAAACATTTACCACATATAATTTTCTCTTCTTCACGGAATGGCGTGTTGACATTTTTTTACAGTATACTATAAAAATACACATTTTGCAGGCAATTCCTTGTTTTTTTCCTCTCTAAAATAATAATGGGAGGGCCTAGCAATTAAAGGCCTTCAATGAATCTGTAAAACTTTGCAGCTTTAGGTACTATGAATTCTTTGGCCAAAAGGCAACCGATTAAGTGCATTCTATTCTCCTTAAGAGACTCAACAAAGTGGAAGGAAATGAAGGTGCAACTCCTCCCAATAACCCTTTGTTATGACGAAGCAAAAACTTAGCTAGATAATCACTCTGATGCTTATCCAAAGCAGCTAGCTAGGTCACTGATCCGGAATTCAGCCTAAAAGAAAATTTCATTATATCTCAAGGACCAACCGGACTTCAATAAGTTATCAAACTTTGTTATGTCAGTCAGTGGATTATATTTTTTATTAGCTGATCCAACATTTTCCATGCATGAAACCTATCTCATCTGTCATGCATCAAAGAATTTTCTTCACCTTAGCCTAAATATATCAAAATCTAGCAGTGGGACAAACGGGGGCAGACAACGGATTGAAAAGAAAAAGCTTAAAAACTGGTGCCACCGATCCAATTTGATTAAAGTTACATTATTTTATTAACATACTGAAAAGGTTAAAACCATACTGCAAACAAAATTCATCCATAACCCTCAAAAGAAAACACTGGATAACTACTTATAAACATTTGCTACTATCAACACAAGGAAGTTTTCTTGACACAAACTTGTTTTTTTGGGTGGGTTTTCTTTTTCAAGTGTTTTAACACATCACATCCTTGAGAAGCTTGTACCTGCGTGTAGTGGGCCTTGGAGAAGGCGTTCCACTGCTCTTTCCTTTCTGATGATCACCACTCTCGTCTCGATCGTGCTGCTTGATTTTGTCACCCGAATACTCGGATCGGTTTATAATTCCAGTTTCACTTCCAGCTGATGATTTCTTTGAAGAGCTTCCGTGCCTTGAGTTTCTTTCTTCGCTTTGGCACCAATCACACAGTTCAATTGGCTCTGCGAATTCGCTGTAGTAGTTACTGCAATACCTGCAAGAATCAAGAAATTGTTTAAGGACAAGTTTTAAGCCATACATTACAATAAGAGGAAAAAACTATGGGTATGATGAAAACATGAAATATATTTATATATGCTTTAAAAAGATGATTATAGCATGATGATGATAGACTAGGATGTTTCACTTCGGCTATTACGAAATCATGCTTTTGGTGGTGGTTGTTGGGTGGTGCTTGGTGGAGATGGGTCTCCAGTTATCTACCTGTGATGATGATAAGATGAATTCAGTTAAAGGTAGCTATCAAGCCTCATGATGATGATTATATATGCATACATGTAGATGGATGATGATGCTGATGATGGAAGGGGCTATATATGAATGGATACATAGATTATGATGATGGTGATGATATGGTGAAATGAGAAAACCCATACGAATGTTGAAAGCGGTGGCGGCATTTGTTGCAGCGGAAGAGTTTGTCAGGGAAACCAACGTCGCCGCACATGCAACAAACGGTTTGAAGATCCACCATTACTGAAGAAGGCGTTGAATTTTGCTGAAAACTAAGAGAATAAAAAGAAGAAGAAGAAGAAGAAGAAGAACTGATGGAATTGAAGAGTGAAAAAGCCCAAGAGAGAAAGATAACTACAAGAGAGCCATATCTATATATAAAGAAAGAGTGATGGTTTCAGAGTCGGTGTATAAATCCCATACATTTTTACTTTTTATATATAAAAAAAGAAATAAATTTATATATTCACAGGTAGACCATAGGTTGCTTGCAGTCGTTTTCAGTTAGAAGGAGATGGAGAGAGAAGAGGGATATGAACCTTAAAATTTTTGACCAAAATGACAGTTATGTCCTGGGCTGGGCTTTGCTTTTGGTCTCTTTTCTTACTTATTCTTTTTTTTCCCCCATCTTTTGTCCTTTTCTCGTTCTTTTTGCCCCTTTGCCATTTATAATTGGCGAGCTTTGAGCTTCCACCCCACGCTTCTTCTCTCTCCCTCACCAACACCTTCCCTAGGAATTACAAAAACATGTGTCTTATTATTGACTTAAACTACTCCAAGTTAATTTATTAATTTGATTTATCAATAAAACAATCAAATTTTTTAGTCCAATATTCTAAAATAGCAATTATTTAAGTATTTATACAAAAGAAAGGTATATTATTTTACAACCATAATATATATGAAGGAAAATAAAGGATGCAGGTTCGAGAATTTTTATTTAAAAAAATTAATAATTTTTAGATCAAGCTTGAATTGTATTATTTTTTAAATATTAAAAAAATTATTTAAATCATTTTAAATATACGATATATAATTATTTATTTTAAATTATTATATATAATATATTTCATTTTATTTTAAAAATTAAATAACTTATTTATTTTTAAACTTTTTCTTTAAAAAAAACTATTTAGGATAAAGATTAAACTAGTAATTATTTACTAATTAATTAGTACTAATAAAAGAGGAAATACGCCTAGTTTTGTAAAAGTGCAGTGGGGCACGCGCACGTGAAGAGAGTGGGTTGGCATGTCGCATTTGTTGGAAACAGTGAAGTGGTGAAACAGTGAAATTGAAAGGGAAATCTTGGTCAACTTGGTTCAGCTTCTGCTGCATGCCTGCCTTCTTTCTTGGGTTAAAAAGCTTGGGACGCAACTGTCATTAAATCAATTCGAGTGGGGAATTTGGGAAACGTTGAAAAATTCAAAGTACACTATTACTGTTTATCAACCTTTAAACAAAAGTCTACAGCATCATAATCAAAAGTGGAAAGCAGCCTCTCCGTGCCCAAACACTCTGCACCGCACCTCTACCAAACCTGCTTTACAGTCAACCATCTTAACCGTCAACTCTTTTCTTTTATATGTGAGGTTGCCGTTAGTTTCGTTAACTGAAAATTAAAAATTTAATGTCTTCCAACAAATGACAGTTGATTTCAATGGTAAATTCATATTACACAGATTAACTATCACAAAGGAGTTAAATTCAAATAAAATTAAAATATAATTTTTAAAAAAAAATTAATTCTTGTATTAATAAATATGACTAATTTATAGTATGGAAAAAAAAAAACATGCAGGAAAAAAAGTGTCGTTCGGGGAAATTAATACACAATTCGGTACATGTCAAGCTCCCCCAACAATCCGATAAAAAAAGGGGTCTGTTAATCGGACGGTAGGAAGAGAAGTAAGGATGCATATAATGGTATGAGTTAAGAACACAGAATAGGACATGAAGTTGATAAGCATCACGTGGGGGCCAAGAGCTCGCTTTACATCTGCCTTTTGTCTAAGAAATTGACATGAGCCGAGAAAGCAGCAAACGTGTTGGGCCTCCAAATTCCTTACTGCGATATCTGCCGGTTTCTATGTTTATTTTTTCCTGGAAAGAAAAAAAAAAAAAGCACTTAATTTATACTTATGACTGTAGATGATTTTGGTGGAAGGAATGATTTTTCAATTGATTATGTCCATATTAAATTGCTGAAGTCACGAGTTAAATCAGCAGATCATTGGTCAACTAATAATATATGAACTTTCATACAAAATGTAAGACCAAAAACCCATTTTTGTCTTCCTCACTAGTGTCCATTTTTTATTTAATTTTGTGAGCCATTCCCCTCATTATCAGTAAAAACAAATTGTATTTACTCTAAGATATAATTTTGATTACAGAAATTAAATAATTAATATTTTATTAATAAATCTCGTGATTATTGATTGAATAGCTTATCTGCTTTGAAATTTATTAATATATATATATGTGTATTTTGATTCTTCCTTGAAAAATTTAGATTGCTTACTTGTTCTACATTCAAACATGCTTAGGGTTCTCTTCAATTACTTCAACTATTGGTACAATGCATGTACATGTATGTAAGCCATGATGTTTTAAATATTTTTTACTTTATTATTCTTTCACTATTGGACTTTTCTCTTAATTTAAAATGTGAGAGTTTTTTTTTTTTTTTTCTTTTCAATATGCCACCATCCTCCCATCCTTTTCAGCCCTGGAAGCGTGAAGCATATGCCAGCTTCTGATGCTATGGACAAAAATTTTGGCTAGTTATTTATTAAAGAATTGTGGCTAAAGATTGAAGACGAAGGAGTTTAATTTGAAACATGATATTACCAGGATATTTTTTTGAATTATTGGAGTAATTCTCACTTGAAAATCGAGATTTATGCTCTGAATTCCATGGTGGGCTCCTACGAAGAATGTGACCTTTTGCTCTTACTTCGGCATTGATGTGGCATCACTCTGATCATTTTGATGACATACTTTAGGTTGGCTCAGATATATATCTATTAACTATGATTAATGTATAGATAGGAATAACCTAATAATTTAAAATATGATATAATGATATAATATAAATATAATACAAAAAAATGAAAATAATATAATTTAAAATTTTAATAAGAATTATGTATAGATTTAATAAAATTAAAAATATATTTTATATTTTTATGTCAATATAAATCGTGACACATAATTTTTAAGCAAACACAATACGAATATATGAATTTTATATTTTACACGATAAAAATACACGAATACTAAAAGATATTGCCAATTCGTCATTTTTTTTTTTTTAGTTATTAATATCTCTTTTTGTTTAATCACATACTAATTAGGAATCTAACACTTTTTTATTACAAAATGAAGCCAATGAAAATTTTATAAATGTCATTTGAACCTCAACTTTATAAAAATCCATTTTTAAGTAAGATAAGTGAAATAATTGAACTACATCTCTCGAATTTAACGAAATCATATGACCTATAATAATTGCATTAAAATTAATTTATTAGGAATCATAATTATATAAGACTAAATAAAATATTATTTGAAGTTCATAGTTATAAGTAGGAGATTTGTACAAAATTTTTAATTGTGATTAGATCATTGTAAGATTATAATAAAAAAATTTGTAAGTGAAATGCTTGGAAATTTAAAACCTTTTAAGATTACAAAAAGACAAATTAGATTTTAGGTCATGAAAAATCTACTTCGAGTAGTACTCTCTTTTAAACCAAATAAAGATTAATTATAATTTTTTTAGCTTATGAACAATCAAAATCAGACCAACATTTTTATAGTTCCGACAAGGTATAGACAGTGATTTTTTTTGGGAAGAAAATGTTCCATCAATCTGTTGATGATTGGATAAGGGGATTTTTTTTAAATTTCCTGTTCCAGCAATGCTTGTTGACCTAACTTTTCCCAATGCAATTAGTGCCATTCTTATTCTTTTGCAAGAAGAGATCATCAATACAGAACTTACGATCGAGACTTTAACCTTATCATCTGTAATCAAATTTTATATTATATATGCAAATATTTTAACATTTTATATTTAAAATTATCAAAAATTAAATCATGATCAATTAAATTAAAAATTTGACGACATATACTTTAATTAAATAATACAAGATAAGAATTATAAAATGGTTTAATTTAAAACCTTGACAGTGTATTTATGGGATAGCAATTATGAGATTAAATCTGAAATATTATTATAAGGTTGAAAGTCTATTATTGGAATAATTTTTAGGGAATGGAAAGTAAATCTTCATGCACCATCTTTAAAAAATGATAATAAAATTAATAATTAATGATATAACATGAACCAAATCTCAAGTTCCATCACCACTTGTGGACTTGGCTTTTTAGGATATGTCAAACCAGAAATTTTGGATTAGATTTCAATAATTTTCTAATGAATTATACCAAGATCTAGTTCCATCATCATTTGGTAGACTTGGTTTTTAGGATGTCAATGCTTTAGATCTTGGGTCACTTTTCATTTTTTTTCTATTTCTTTCCAATGGCGCAGTCAGGTAATCATCCACTTCAACTGTCCACTTCTTGTGAGAAATAGAAATCATACTTGGCTTGAGCATAAAAAAAAAAAAAAAAAAATCTTAATAATTTTGATTTGTGATTGACATTTCATCAAATAATTACAACTTAGGATAAGAATGCATAGGGATAAAAAGAGATGATTTTGAATATATATCTAAGTTTGAAGCAAACTCAAAGATATGGGAGATTAAGTTTTCTTTTTTAGATAATATTATAACGAAAAAAAAAAAACTTTGGAGTTTAAGTTATATATAATAAAATAAAATAGGCTAATACTGAAAAAAAGCATGTCTTATCCCATTTGTCAGAAATTTAAAATAAATGAAATGAGAAAGGTTGTCTTTAAATCGTTATATATATACTTTATTAATTTTCTTCATACAATGTATATAATCTCGTGGAAAAGAAATCTACACGATTAATTAATTAGGTATTTGGTATAGGTTGACGTGGATATGTTGATCATAGCTAATGTCATGTCCTCGGTGAGCGTACCAGATGCATATGTCATGAATTTAAAGAGAAGTTACGAATCTCACATCAAACATAAAAAAAAATTATTGGGATATATAAGAGTTTACACTATATCTGTCTTGTGAAACATATTTTGTATGATAAAATCATTAGGTCATGGGGTTAGAGCGGATAATATCTTATAAAGGTATGAACCGTGACAGGTAGGCTGATTTGAGATGCCGAATGAGTGGATGCACAGGTCCTAGAGCTGCGCGAATCAAAATTTAAGTCTCGACTCGTGACAAGTGGTATCAAAGCTAACCTAAACTGTTCGATTCACGTGAAGAGCTTCGAGGGAGGTAGGCAGGGTGGTCAGCCTCCGTAAC